CCCCCCCCCTCAGCATTTTATAACAATGCACAGACCCAAGCCTTGTTGATTGGTTAACTTTTAGGTCTCTGCAATACCCATTGCGTAGTTCCAGAAAATATCCATTCCTTGCCCATGGAAGGGATTTTTTTTCCAAGACCCCCCCCCTCAACCCTCTCGAAATTCCAATTAAGCTTGATACATTTGTTTAAACATTTTGGCCTTAGGGAACCCCCCACCCCTGAGGAAATTCCAATCCCTTCTGAAGGGGGAATAGGGATATTTTCTGGAACTGCACATTATGAAATTTATAGCTTACCATCAGTTCATAGAGATCAGTTTCTACAAATGTTTTTACCTTGACCAAGCAGTTTGTTTTGTCAGGTTATGAACTTCCTTGGGAAGATGAAAAATTTGTTTATCCAAATAACATGGCTCCTCCTGTCGAGATTGCTGTAGAGGCCAGCAATGGTGCCTCCGACTATGGTAATAAGTTTGGTGAACCAGTGCTTGCTGGATTTGCTAGATCATTTGGTATGATGCTGCCAAATGGAGAGCGACGTGAGTGGGTTAAGCCAATCATGTTCAGTGGTGGTATTGGTATGATTGATGGAGAGGGTGTGTCTAAACTAGAACCTGAAAAAGGTGAGTTCTTTCTAAATTTTTCAGCAATAATATTCTGTTCAAAACATCAGTTAAATTCAACCCAATTCTTGGCATACGTTTTGCTTCACCAACCCAAAATAGTCTAAGGGCTGATTTAGAAGGTACAACTTTGCTGCATATGATAAGTATGACACAGATTAATGCGTAAATTATTTGTCTCTTAATTCTTTCACCCATCATTGGTGTCGCTAAGCTTTTCACATGTGCCATTTTTGCACTGGCTTAATTGGTCCTAATGGAAGCATTTTGGAGTATTTTTCACTACAGTTTTGAATATTCTGTATCTTTAAGCTTCTTAGATATATCTTGTGTGTCTATAAAAATTTACAGAAATATTTTCTCTCCAGTCTTGCAAGGTAGATTTAATCTGAATTTTCTGAAATTTTTAATTTGCATGTGCAGGATAGATTTTTCTCTAGTTTCAATGTAAACCTCTTACTCCAGTAGCCTCTGTTTATCAGCCCCAGAGGTCTGCCTTAAGAGCAATTTATCAACTTCTTTTGGAATAAGGTATGGAAGTTGTCAAAGTTGGCGGACCAGTGTATCGTATAGGTGTTGGTGGTGGTGCTGCCTCATCAATTCAGGTTCAGGGAGACAATGAATCAGAGCTGGACTTTGGTGCTGTCCAACGCGGCGATGCTGAAATGGAACAGAAACTGAACAGAGCTATAAGGGCATGTATTGAGATGGGATCTAGTAACCCAATCTGCAGTATTCATGACCAAGGAGCTGGAGGAAATGGTGAGATTTCTTATCATGAAAGTATGTAGTGAGTTATGAGGTTTGATAGCTGGACTTCAAGCTAGCTTGGGTGTGGGTAAAAGATCTGAAGTTGACTACATGTAGCAAAGGTTTACTGTTCTTGCACTACATTATGTACATTTTTCAAATCACATAAACAAAATTCTTTTTGGTTGCCCTCATAAACCTTGAGTTACATTTTGAAATCACACAGATCAATAACAGCAATCAAGTATCTTAAATCTGATGAAGGCCTATTTTTCAAGAATTAGTGAAACATTTTTAAACCTACAACAAAAACAAGTGGGAATCTGCAAGTTCTTCCAGCTTTGTTATAAAACCTCCATGACTCTCTCCTCTGAAACAAGACCGGAATGATACTAGAACTGATTGGAAATACGTCTACCACATTTTATTTTCTAAGTAGTGATTATCTCTAAGGAACAATGATTACACCTACAGATTTATTGATTTCTTACAACTCAGGAAATGTGCTTAAAGAGATATGTGAACCTGCTGGGGCTGTCATTAGAGTGAAAGACTTCATTCTTGGTGACCCAACCATTTCTGTTTTGGAACTGTGGGGTGCAGAGTACCAAGAAAGTAATGCCCTGTTAGTGCACGCTGAAAATAGGGATCTGCTTCAAGGAATCTGTGACAGAGAGAAGGTGCCGGTGTCCTTTGTAGGAGCAATCACAGGTAAGACACAACACAAAAACAAACAAACAAATTCACAACAACAACAACAACAACCATCTAAATACACGTTTTGTTGCCTGACCATTGCAATGCCAAACGGTTATATATGGTGATGCTACAGCCTAGTGGGTACTAGAAACTGTTAAAAAATGTAAGCAACAGAAGGGTAAACATTTATTCTTGTGTAGTTGGTTAATACCAAACCAGATTGCCTAGTATACTACATTTAAAAAGGATCACAGGAAAGTACTGCTCTGGAATAGCTTTCATCTTAATGAGCCCTCTAGCATTTCAAATTAATGGCTTTTTGGAGAAAAATTACTTGACAAGTAATCACAAAGATACCATTCTTAACAAATTTTAACATGACTTTTTGCCTTCATATTTTTTTTTTTTGCATTTTTTATGATCAAAAAGAAAGTTGCAAAAAAAAATTCATTGTCATAAACACCTCAAAAAGAACATTACAAAATCGTCAAGCACTGGTGAATAGCTTTCATTGGCGTGGTCATGCAGTAGGGTTTTGTTGAGATGCAAGAAGATTATGCATTGGTGTTAAAATGATGCTTAGCAAAGTAATGTGCCCTTGTATTCTAGGTGATGGAAAAATTGTACTGGAAGATGAACACAACATGGGTTTAAACAACGGACTGTCTTCCAAAGAAAATGGTGTGCCAAGCAAGCGCCAAAGAACAACTGCACATCCTGTTGACTTGGAACTTGAAGTTGTGTTGGGCAAAATGCCAAGAAAGGTATTTGGTGTGTTTTCTCTCTGAAAAATTCTTAATGACCTGTCAAAATTATTGTATATCAGCAAGAAGCTTACACAATCATTACTTCAGGAGTAAAGCAAAATGAATGCCTTGCTCTTTTACAGGTTTTCAAGTTGGAGAGGGTAGAGTCAAAATTGGAGCCATTATGTATACAAAGCAACCTTACAGTGAAAGAAATGTTGGAAAGAGTTTTACGTTTACCGGCTGTTGCAAGCAAGAGATACCTCACAAATAAGGTATGTTAAATGTTTGTTATCAACGTGTTAGACAGCCTTGCAAACATGTGCTGGCAGCTGGTAATTTTGCCGCCTACTGTAAATTGCCTGCTGCCTACTTCATTGTGGAATTCACTTATCTCAGTAACAACTAATTCATATCTGGCATTTGTTTCCCACCATGTTTGTTATCCTGACTGCCACATGAACCAAAAATGTTTTGACATGGCTGTTTATATCACCAGCCTGGATTCTTCAGTTTAAAGAGGGGGTCATTTTCTTCCTTTTTTACTCAGTCCATTTTCTACAATGCTCATGATCACTATTGGGGTTCTGGTGTTAAAACTTAACAGGTCACCTGGAAAGAATGAACTTGGTTAAGATTTTCATGTCACTTACTGTAGCTCAGTGCAGATTGACAAGGTGCTAGAAATTTTTATTGAGCTTTCTGGAAGCTGGCTGTTTTGAGTGATGAAATTACTGTATCATTCAACCTTGATGCTTCCTAGAAAAACAAGACGAGTTCCCGACAGGCTTTGGTTTTAATCCAAAGGACTGTGTTACTAACTCACCTACATACTGCTTACTTTGATACACATAGCTAACTGTTTTTATTGTATTGCTGTAGGAAGGTAGCAAAGAGGAGTTGTCATCCCTTTTCAAGCTCAAATTTTAACAAAATTCACGTGCCAAATAAATTATACTTTTAGCTACTTTTAGCAATTTTTTTTTTTTTTGGCAAATTCACAAATCACGTAGGAGTTCTTCGGGGGGTTGGGAGAGTTCACGTTATGAGGCTATGTAAACACAGAAAAAGTGCTCTGTTGCTTAAATGGGTTGCTAGTTGCCTAGACATGATGGTGTTATTTAAACCAATCACTCTTATTGCATTTAAGGTTGATCGAAGTGTGACAGGTTTGGTTGCTCAGCAACAGTGTGTAGGTCCCTTGCATACTCCAGTGGCTGATGTGGCAGTGACAGCACTGACATACTTTGACACTGTGGGCTCCGCAACTGCCATTGGTGAACAGCCAATCAAAGGGTTAGTTGACCCAGCCTGTGGGGCCCGCATGGCTGTGGGAGAGGCTCTGACAAACTTGGTTTTTGCAAGAATATCTGATCTTAAGGTAAGAAAATGGATCGTGGTGATCTTTCTGACAATGTGAACATTCTCGGATTAACATTCATTTACTATGTATTGAAGAGTAGGCATATGGGTTGAGAGTTATGGTATGGTTGTGTTTAATGTAAAGCTCCTGCTCAAAAGGGGCAGTGGACTATTGGGGGAAACATCGGACTGTGGATTTTGATATACAAATTCAAGCGCCATGTGGGTTGCCTGGATTGCTCTTCCCATAGGTTTTGTCGTTTCATTTTGAATCAAATTTGAGTCGTGAGGCAGCTACAGTGAGCTGAGAAGCACCAACGATCAGTCACAGAGCCACAAGTGACTCCAATGATGGCTGTTTTTGACGTCACTACAAAGAAAAACTTTGTGACCAGGGTAATCATTGTGTTTTGTCCCTAGGCAAGATACATTACTCACCCAAAGCCACTTGTCTATCCAAGAGTGTTTGTTCTTGTTTAACGTAAACTAAAGGTAACCTTACATGAGTTTATGGTAAGCCCTTGATGAACTAGCATCCCATCCTGGGAGTCGAGAGTAACAGCACTAGATGTACTGGTTGCTTCATGTTATAAAAACTGTCATCAGCCTGGTAAGGCTATAAGTAATCAGTGAAGTGGAAGTGAGATGCTTTGAATGGTAAAGTTCTCATGACCCATTCAACCTGAATCCTTCCAAGAATAACTGTGAGTCACATTCCTCAGAATGGCTTCCTGAAATGGACTTAAATTCTGATCATAGTCTCACTAACATTTTGATATCACACGTTTAGAATGTAGAAAAATGCTTTGATGTGCTACAGCCTACCAGCAAGGTTTAAGATGTGAAATGTTCTAGTTTGAAGATTGTCACACTTAAAGTTTCTGTCTTACATGTAAACTCCTATTTTCCTTCCTGATTGAATCAAAATAAATGTACAAATTTATTTTGATTTTGGTTCTAAATCTAAGAACTTGGTGATACCAATTCAAGACATGTACAGCGTGACAATATGCAATAAGTGATTGTCTTTACCAAATTATGAATGGTATAACCTCTGTAATATAGACACTAGAGGGACAGCTGAGTGTCTGTATTATCATACAGGTATGTGAATTCTGGTTTCTCTGGGGCTGAGTGAACTGTCCATAACACAGCAGTGTCCTTATTATGGAGGCATCCACAACAAGGTTCAGCTTTACGTGTAAGTCTAACCTGCATGGAATCTTTACCTTTTTACCAGGATGTTAAATGCAGTGGCAACTGGATGTGGCCTGCTAAACTGCCAGGAGAAGGAGCGACTTTGTATGACGCTTGCGCAGCCATGTGCGATGTGATGGCATCGCTAGGCATTGCTATCGATGGTGGAAAAGATTCTCTAAGCATGGCTGCCAGGGTTGGTGAAGACACAGTCAAGTCTCCTGGCTCACTTGTCATTTCAGTGTATGCTGGGTGCCCTGACATCTGTGCCACGGTCACCCCTGACCTGAAGATGCCTGATGGAAAGGGGAATCTACTGTGGGTCAGGTTTGGTGGTGTTTCTAAACACAGACTGGGAGGAAGCGCATTGGCACAGGTTTACAACCAGTTAGGAAGCGAGGCACCTGATTTAGATAATGCTAAGGTAAGACTGACCACGAAAAGGTATATACTGATAAATCTGGTGCAATGGTTCCCAGGAGATGGCTATGGTATTTTGCTTTAAAATTGATATTACTAGACTACTATTTAGGAGTTGAAAAGCACTTTCGTCTGATGTTTGACTATGTGACCACTTAGCCGAACAGCTGCGCGTGTTGCTTCACCTAGAAGTTTGGGGAAACTTGCAAGGATGCAGTATATTTCAGTGATAAAATTATGATTTCTCTCGTTTTGCTTTCAGATATTCGAGGCAGCGTTTAGAACAACACAAGAGCTAATATCTCAGAGGCAGATTCTCTCTGGCCATGATGTCAGTGATGGGGGACTGGTTACCACCCTATTGGAGATGGCCTTTGCTGGCAATTGTGGCCTGTCCATTGATATCCCGTGCCCAGAACACTTCATTGCAACAGTGAACAAGGTGGCCGATGTTCTGTTCGCTGAGGAATTGGGAATTGTATTAGAAATAAAGGAAGAGGACACAGAGACGGTCATGAACGCTTTCCTTTCGAAGAACATTCCATGTCTTCAAATAGGGACATCAAGCGGGTTGGGAGAAGATGCGGTTGTGTCGGTGCGGGTCGGAGGTGAACTTGTGCTGGAACATAACATGGTTGACTTGCGAAACATCTGGGAGGCCACGAGCTTTCAGCTAGAGCGACTGCAGACCAATCCACAGTGTGTAATGGAAGAGGAGGCTGGTCTTTGTAAAAGGCACGCTCCGGAATACAAGCTGTCGTTTGAACCAGTGCCATCATCTCCACTGAGTGATAAACATCCTAAGGTGGCCATAATACGGGAAGAAGGAAGCAATGGCGACAGAGAAATGGTGGCTAGCTTTCACATGGCTGGGTTTGAAGCGTGGGACGTCACCATGAATGACCTGTGCAGTGGATCAGTGAAGCTGGATGACTTCCGTGGAGCAGTGTTCGTGGGTGGGTTTAGCTATGCTGATGTTCTAGGCTCTGCCAAAGGATGGGCGGCGGTGTGTAATATAAACGCCACTGTACGTTCCCAGCTGGACGCCTTCTTCTCCAGAGAGGACACCTTCAGCTTGGGAGTGTGTAACGGTTGTCAGCTGATGGGCCTGTTAGGCTGGGTTGGTCGGGATACTCTGACAGCACAGAGAGATGACTCAAAGCAGGGCGTTTGCTTCACTCACAACATCTCAGAACGCTTTGAATCTCGTTTTGTCACCGTCTCCATCCAGTCTAGTCCTGCCATGATGTTCCGTGGCATGGAGGGATCTGTCCTGGGTATCTGGGTAGCACATGGCGAAGGTCGAATCCAATTCCGCAGCGACAGTGTACTTCAAGACATCAAGGCCGACAACTTAGTACCTTTGTGCTTTGTGGATGATGACGGTTGTTCCACAATGCCTACAGATGGTGCATGGAGACTCGGGTTGATGCCTAACAAGGTTCAACGTTCACGTAGCTTGTTTGTATTTAAGGAATCACGACTGTCTCCGCCAAATCGCGAGGCTGTGTATTAAAACTTCAAATCAAAGTGAACAGAGTTGTATTACAAGGCAGCTACCTGTGAATTGTAGTATGCCCTACTTTAGTTGCCGTCTTACTTTTGTCTTATTCTGTTGACGATGTTTGTGAAGAAAGGCTCTTAAATATTTATCAAGACTACAAACCAATTGTAAACTAAAACACAACAAAACAGAAAAAGGTTCAACTTTATGTAACTTGTTTGTATTTCACGTGTCCAGAGATGTTCATGTCAAATCGCGAGGGTGTATGAACAAAATTATTTTAACAAGGCGAGCAGAATTGTATTGCAAGGCAGCTGCTAGTGAATTGTAATATGACTACCACATTCCACTAGAAAGGGTAAACATTTTCCACAAGGCCTTGGCACGTGGCCGCCCTTACTTAAGGTGCTCTCTCATTTGTCTTTCAAGTTTGCTTCCTGAAGTAATTTTGTTTACGATGCTAGGTGAGTGACTTAAGTTTGTTAAAGTAAGTACTTATTTAGAATGGTCCATCCCTAATGCGCTTAGAGTGGAAACAATCAAACAAACCAAAACAAGAGAGTGCTCTCTTTATGAGATCCTGCTCTGAAGATAGTCTTGGAAAATGGTGACAAAGATTTATTTATCTACAGGGATCCCTCTCAGTTCTACTGTACAAGATTTAAAGTTATGTATAAAGATAGAAAGTTGTAGTACAGTTTTTTGAATGGATCAAGGCATGTTGCAAGTGTTTTTGTACCGAGGAATGCTACTTTTAAATAAACATTGAAAATAACTTGTTCCTATTTTGAACTGAATCCAGCAGAACACCCGCTTAGTCTTTTTTTTCTGCTGAAGTTCCCTCATTATACCATAGAAACGTAGTTTTGACAGCGAAAAGCAAACCATTCTGAAGTTCCTCTCAAAGGACTCTAACAAATAATTCACACCTAATTACTGGTCCCTTAGGGAACGGTGAATTCTGTTTCGGTGAATTCTGTTTCCCGAGAATCTCAACATTGGGATTCGAGGGAAACAAAATTCACTGTTCCCTTTAGGGACTAGTCATTAAGAGGAACAGTTTTATTCAGTTGCACTAGTCTTGCTATCGAAATGTATATCAAGGTTGCAATTGAAAAATGGTCATGAAAAAAAGGCAATACTCTGCATTGCGCAAGAATATATATGGCGAAAGAAATATTGCGAAATATTGCTCTCTTGCTAGTTTCGAATGAGTGCTCACTGGGTGTAAATTAAGGATGGTGTGTTTCATCAAAGAGTCTTCAGCTCGAGTTTTTCTGAAGTTTTAGTCGTAGATAGGCAGTTGTTTTCAAGCAATTTGCAAAGGAGGACAGGCGTCGTCAGCAGTTTTATTTCGTTGCCGGAACAGGGTTAAAACTTACCAGTTAGCGACAACTGAAAGCATGAAGATATCATTTGCATATTTCTGTGAAAATAATGTTTTGCAGCCTTTAGTGACGGTAGGTGTGGTGCGGTTCCTTCTCCTGTTCAGTTACCATCTCTTTGCATGCATCAAATGTCCGGGTAACCACGCGTTTTTAAAAGTTAAACGGCCTGTTTCAATCCTCTTTTGAAGATTTTTTCGGTGTCTGTCACCTCCCCAGTCAGTCAAACATTTGCTTCTCTCGCACGTATTTTGCGCGCGCATTATGCCATGTGCCGGGTAGATGTCTACAATTGGATTTCAGTATAATTTTTTTTTCGAATGACAGCTAGGTGTTTCAGCGGGAACCCGTTAACAGTTAGTTGATGCGATATGCTGCTATTCTGGTGTTCCTGGTTTTAGTAGAGGTTCAACTTCCTTAAAGCTTGATTTGGTTACAGAACGAAAATAATTTAGCTTTCATTTTAGACGCGCACTTGGTAGCGTAGTTGATTACGTCAATGTCGACCCTAGCGCGCTTGTGCGTGGCGTGTAATCCTTGCGTGATGTACACAGAACGTGTGCGCAAATGTACATATATAACGCCGGGGCCTGATTGGTCTCTCACTATACAAGC